GTCGCCTATATCCGTTGATCGTCCCCGACTCCGATACATATCACTGAACGAACGACATTTCACACCTCTTTGCAGGCTTTCGAGCCTAATAAAGACGACTACCTTAGGACGTTTATGAATGACAAACGAACCGGACACAGAGCTTTCGAGCCTAATAAAGACGACTACATTAGGACGTTTATGAATGACAAACGAACATTACGGACACAGAGCGCCGGAGCTGTGTTCGGTTCTCAAATGATGCTACGACATTTTCAAGCATTTCGGTCCATTACAAAACATGCGCACTGCATGATCACATATTTTTTCTTGCAGGATCATCATCATCATCAAAGACAGCAACATCAGTGTTGGCACTGATGCCTTACAGCTTCACTTCAACAACAGTCGCGCACATTTCAAGGTCAGGTGTTGTAGAACCGTTTTCTTGGATTATAGCCCACCCATAGGTCGTTAACCATTTTTATACTAGGTAACTATTTTTTTCACCAGGGCGGTCACAGAGTTTTTTCTGCGGTCACAGAGTTAAACAGGTCTCCCTTCTTCAGTAGGCTAAATAGGTCTCAGTCCCCAGGGCGTTTAACCTTCTACACTACTATTCCTCAGCCTACCTCGAAGTATCGGAAATCTCAGGATTTCTCATTACTAATTCTCATCAACAAACTCTCTACTAACCGAGAATCCTTGCGGGTATCTCTCGAACACCGAGGAGAGAACTTCGTGCACAGCGCTCCTTCCTTCTCCAAATTCCTCCGCCGACTGTTCCGTAAGCGTAGTACCCCAAGCAGCCACCCGGTTGCTTGTTTGCGTTTCACATATGGTGGCCCTGTGGCTGATCCCGTCTAAATAGCATTTATGCCTGCTCGGATGGCTCCACACGTTGCAGATCTGGTGGCATGCACGAGGGATAAAAACCTCGCGTGGGGGGCGGGTTTGTCTTGCAGGGAGGTTCACCGTGTTACGTTGCACCATGGTGCATTCGTATGCACGCCATCCCTTCAGTAGCAAGGGTGCATCGCACACCATCGACGGTTCTGAGCCCGGCCTTTAATTCATGAAACTAAAAACAAAACAAAACTGCTGTTTTCTGTTTGTTGCTGCTGGTGTTGTGCTAGTCTTGATTAATTTTCTTATGGACAACGCCATAATCTACAGGTGTAAAACTGACAATTCGTCTGTCAAAATCATAATGAAAAGTCTTATATAAACAACTTGGATTAGCCTGAATATCCTCCGCGATGTCCGTGGCCTACATAGACGTGCTTGCTATAGCCACCTAGCCACCTTCGTCATATTCGAAGATGTGCAGTATAAAAGCCCTCTTCGACAACCACCCTTCTGCTGCTCCCAGGAGTGGACACATACCATATATACATATATACAGTGAGACTACAGACCCTCCCCTGCTAGCATCCGAGCCTTACGCTTAAACTATTCTTCGCCATGCACCACTTGCAGATTTAAGCTGATGATGGTGCTTCGGAGACTGGTGGCCATCCTCCTTACATTCAGTTTCCGGCCCAGATTTTCCCAGCATTGTCCAACTCACTAATAACCTTCAGAAAACCTGGTCCGCCATCTCAGAATTCCCGTCTTCCTCCTCTAAGCGGTTGCCAGACCCCGAATCCCCATCAACTATCTCCACAGTATATCCAAAGAGGCGATTCGCAGCCAGAAGACCCAGCTCTCAACCCCCAAATCCATTGAGGCGGGCAAAAACTGTACCACGGACAACCACAGATTGTTCAGTAGTCCTAATTGATATGTCTTTGCTTCCGCAACCTGGCGGCACCCTCCCCTCACAACTACCAGTAGAATCTCAGGTCTTGAAAGACCTGGAAAATCTCAGGTTCCGTCTATATACTATGGAAAGTGAAATGTCTTTTTTGCGAACCACACAATCGATCGCATGTCTTTTAACTCCTGATGCAATATGCGATCCTACGAACTAGAAAAAGCCGTCTATTTTAATTGACACGATTGCGTCAGAGATTTGTCAACGCATCGAATGTCGACACCAGGTCCTAGTATTCAACGCACCTGATCGAACTCCGCTTGAGCACATCAGAACTGCCATTTTGACAGCATGTGGCATGCTGGATACCAGGTGCACAGCTCAGCGGCTCCGAAAGTCAAAACCATCTATGTGTCGCCCCATATTAATGAAATTTCGGGATGAAAAGGATACCATGCATCTTCTAACAACCCAGGCTCTTCTCACTTCCACCAAAAAATTCCACTCCATAGAACTCAAAGCTGCCCGTACTCGAATGCAAAGGGAGCTCACCCAAATGTTACCTCAAGCTGCTGCCCCATCTACCGCCAGAACTTGCGTGAATGCTCCCAGTGTACCCCTAAGTTCCGAGTGCTCCTTGATTACTCCCAGCACTGAATCCACACCCAACCATCAGCAGCGTCTGACTTTGTAGCCTTAAAAAAACTCAGTCCTCCATCACCCCTACAAATGGACTCTCTGCTTCACCATTCATAAAAACGGCAAACGCCCCCATCAGCCCAGTAGGACTCCCTGCCAGCGTTGAAATGACTGACGCAGAACGCCTCACAGCCAGAGCAATGACTACACCAGTTGCTGTTGGCATTCGTTCTCGTCACAGGCCCCCTGACCAGCTGTCCCTCCGTGCTCCACCTCCCCCAAAATACGCCTTCGGGCTCAAGCACTTATTGTCAAGGCCGCGATACGAAGCGCACCGTAAATTGCATACCCGAAAACCTGACCCTCCGCATGCTGTTGTACCTACACTTGTTGCGCCATCAACTACCAGTACGTACGTCGACACTCCCACGCTACATACATGCTCTAAAGACTCATTGACTGCCCCAAGCACTGGACTGACACCAGACTACTCAGAAGCTTGTCACTTCATGGCCTTACAGGACCCTGAGCCCTTTATCGCTTCTACAAATGGACTCTATGCTTCGCCATCCGTGAAAATTACAAATGCCCCCATCAGCCCAGTAGAACTCTCTCCTGGCACTGAATTGACTGCCGGGGCACGTCCTCCATCCAGAGCAGTGACTATAGAAGGCGTTGACAGCACTCGTTCTTGTCACAGACCCCCTGACCTGGTGTCTCTCCGCGTTACACCTCCGCCAAAATACGCCCTCGGACTCAAATATCTACTGTGCCGGCCGCGTAACGTAAAACACCCCAAAATACGCCCTCGAAAATCTATCCCTCTTTGTCATCAAGATAACCGCACCTTGCTTCGGCTTCCCCACAATTACATGACAAATACACCAAACCACGCGTACCGCGAGCTTGATGAAACCTTAAACCCGCATATACCGGCGGCCAGCTCAGGC